TGTGATGATGTCTCCAAGCGAGGCGGGAGCACGAGTGGGGAGGCCAGGGGCCTCGGGTCCCATACTGAAACGACTCGTTTCGAGGAGGGCGGTCCAGACGCCTTGGAAGGACCCCAATGCTATGACGTGCCAGTTGCGGGGAAGTTCCGCCATGCCATGCGCTGCATTCGGACGCAGCTGGAGAGCTGCATGTGGTCGTTGCCTGCATCCCATGGGGTTGACGACGTGCGTTGACATTGGGGTTGAGGCGGCCACGCCGCTGAGCACTTCAGTGCCTGGCATTACATGGCCGAGCAGCTTCTGGAGGCTGGTGTGCGGTGATCAACCGCAATTCTGAAGAAAATGAACCACGAATGATGGCTTAAGGGGGACAGCAACTGCTGCGAACGAACGCGGCCATGAAGGGTCACGGGGGTCGTGCTTTACACATGTTGTTTTTTCTCTCCGGATATTTGAAAATGAAATGGTACATTTTTGTTCTCAAGAGACACTGTAGATTATTCTTCAACGAGGCGGGTGGGAGTGTTGTGGTTGGGTTTCATAAATGGCGGTGATTCAGAAACTCTTCAAATATGCTCGTTCCTTCCCCGCCATTGGCGAGTAGCCGTGTCATCTTCTGAAGCAATTTCTGTCAAGTGTTCGCTGAATCCAACACCTGACATGAATTACGCAGAAGGGGTCTTCAGCCAGAGACATCAAATTGAAATCCATCCTTGTGATTCGCGTTAAATCTCATAGGGACCTCACCCACTATTAATGTAGTTGGTCATATGCGGTGGACGCGGACAAAAGAACCCTCGAGGAGTCACGCATCAACAGATTGCTCAGATATAGGCGCCCTTACACCAATTCACAGTAGCAAGCCAGCTTTGCAATTGGTCGTTTTATAAACAGCAACTCACATTCGTGCGTACTTTTACAAATGCAAAGAAACCACCAAAATCATCTGTGTGATATGTTCTAATGACTAATTCACTGAACACTTCAACTCTATCCCAATTTTCCTACCTGCTAAGAAGATGCTAAAAAGGCAACTGTACATTGTCAGAAACTGAGCCATTATCTCCTACCCCTTAAAATTTATTGCCCTTGAGCCTTGCGAAGAGCCAATACACTCTCTGGAACGTGTGTAAGATTACCACAGCCACTCAAGTTCAGGGTCTCTAGTTCACCAAGTGCCCCGATGCCATCTGGGATTTGCATGAGGTTCTTGCACCATTGCAGCTGCAATGTCTTCAGCTGAGCAAGCATTGACACTGATTCTGGGATATGCACTAGAGAGGAGCAGCCAGTCAGATTCAAGGCGCGGAGCTCAGTCATTAGTCCAATGCTCTGTGGAATCTGTGGAAGGCTCTTGCACCAGCTTAAATCCAACATCTGAAGCTGCTTAAGTGACCCCATACTCTCTGGGATCTTTGCAAGCTTCCCACAACCACTCAAATTCAGAATTTCGAGTTGTGTAAGCAGCCCAACATTCTCCGGAATCTGCTTCAAGCTCAAACATCCGCTCAAGTTGAGTATCTGAATCTGGCTGAGTGACCCAATTGTCTCAGGAATGTGAGTGAGATTCACACACTTACTCAAGTCCAGTCTTTTCAGCTGGCTCAGTGACCCCACACTGTTCGGGATTTCCATCTGGCTACTGGATCTTCCCAAACCCAGTGCATCCATTTGGCCATGAGGCCAAACGCCTTCTGGAATCTGTTCAAGGCTAACTCGTTCACTGAGCTCTGATGCTGCCAATTGGTGTGGCAATCCCACGATGTCCGGAATCTGTCTAAGACTCCCGCATCTGCTCAAATCCAAACTCTCCAGCTGGCTGAGTAATCCCACACCCTCTGCAATCTTCAGAAGATTCGAGCATCCACTCAAATTCAACGATCGAAGGCAGCTGAGCAACCCAATGGCCTCCGGAATTTCAACAAGACTTGCACACTTGCTCAACTCCATCCTTTGGAGGCGACACAACGATCCAACATTGTCTGGGATACGGGTTAGATTCCTGCATTCACGTAAGTCCAACACCTTCAGCTGACTGAGCAAACCCAAACTTTCTGGGATCTGTGTGAGGCTTCTACACCAACTCAAATCCAGCGTGTGCAGCTGGCTGAGCAAGCCCACACTGTCTGGAATATGTGTCAACTGCACACACCAACTGAGATTCAGTGTCCTAAGCTGGCTGAGGGCACCCACACTGTGTGGAATCTCATTGATATTGTCACACATGCTCAGGTTCAGAGTCTTCAGGCGGACCAGAAGTCCCAAACCCTCCGGAATCTGCACAACAGCCCTACACCAGCTCAAGGTCTGGAATCCATGTGAGGCTCCAACACCCATTCAAATTCAGTGTCTGCAGCTCACACAGCTGTGTAACACTCTCTGGCAGTCTCGTGAGGCCCCTGCACTCACTCAGATCCAGGGTTTGAAGGTGACTCAACAGCCCTATTTCATTAGGAAGCACTGTGATGCCCCTGCACCAACTCAGACAAAGCACTTGCAGCCCAGTGATGAAGCCCAGACTTTGTGGTATGCTTGTTATGTCCTTGCAACCAGCCAAGCTAAGGACTTGCAGGTAGGAAAATTGTCCCAAGCCATCCGGCAAGGACATCAATATTTCACAGCCAGACAAGTCCAGTCTCCTCATTCTGGTTGCATTCACTATGGATGCTGGAAGATGCTGCAACTTGTGGCAACCAATGAATAGTGAGTGCAATCTCGTTAGATTCCCCAGAGATTCTGGGAGGGATTGCAGCCCTGGACAATCACGAAGTGACAACACTGTCAGATGTGACAGATCTGTCAATTCTTTTGGCAGCATGGATACACCATTGCATCCGTCAAGCCTCAGGACCTGCAACAGTGAAATTTCTCGGATGCTTGGCGAGATCTCTCCAATAGCAGATCTTGACAAGTCCAATATCCTCAGATGCGGTGACAAAACCAACTTTGAAGGCAGCGCTGTAAGCCCTGAGTCTCTTGAAATCAAGCTAACCATCGAAGGTGCTTCAAAGCCCTCAGGCCAGCAATTTGAGGCATCACCACATGTTGACAAGTGCCTTGCCATGACAGTCTTGTCACGCAGTTGATGCAGATTGGGAAACAACAGCTTCTCACGTGCAGCAAGCGGACGATCTTTGCTAGCCAACCGCAAACCCACCTCCCTCAGAAAATCATGCAGATAACAAGATGTGTTGTTCATCATATCTGCATCTCCAGCAGACTCGGGTACTGCATCATACATGAACAGTGAGCGATCCATTAATTGCAAACAAATCGTGTAGCCATCAAGGAAGCAATCTTCCACATCGCTGTCAGCCTCAACGTCCAGGCAAGCAACCCACTGCTCCACCAAATCTGACACCTTCACATGGGAATCTTCAGGGTAGCACACGAGACAAAAGAAAAAGGCCTTTTGGAAATCGTCCAAGTCTTCATAGCTGATCCTCAGCACAGACAGCAGGTCATCTTCATACACTGCACCCAATGATCTGGATTGCTGCAGCCTGCTTACGCCAGCCTCCCACTCTGCCAATTGACGGAATTCTCTCGCCAATGATCCAACCACTTGCAAAGCCAAAGGCAGTTGGGCACACTGCATCACCATCTGCTCAACAAATGGCCTGTACTTCACCTTCTCATCAGGGATGCCAGGCATGCCAAAAGCACATTTGCAAAAGAGTTCCAAAGAAGAGTTTTTGTCCAGGAGCCCAACATCATACACCTTGGCACCCACGCCTCTTGCAACTTTCATGTCTCTTGATGTCACCAACAATCTGCTATCCCCATTGCTCACTGTGATCTTCAGTTTCTCCAAGCTGTTGACTGACCACACATCATCCAACACCAGCAGCACACACTTCTTTTTCAGGGTGCTCAAGTGTTCCGACTTTAGATCTTCCATGTTGGAACAGCTGGGATTCCGTTCTGAGGATACCAATTGTGCCCATATCTGCTGCAGGCACTGCAGAATGTTTGGATCTCTTCCCATCGTTACCCAAGCGATCTCATCAAAATTATTCCTAGACCGCTCACTCTCATACACAGCTTTTGCCAGTGTTGTCTTGCCTGCAGCAAATAGATGATCAAAGTTGAATCCAAGCTTGGATGCTGGCATGAACCTGCCTTGGATGCAAGACATAATTGCCCCACCAGCAAGCTTGCATGAATTGCTATGACAGTGGCTGACATGGAATGCACGTTTGAATCTGCATCAACAGGCACTGAAAGTGCTGTGGTGAAGACAAAGAGCTCTGCAGTGGTGTGCATGCGCAAAGCAGGGATACAGCGATTCGAATACGAAACACACCATTTGGTCATCATCAATTCACTGTGATTAATATCATCACCATTAGTTTGCGATGCAACACTGAAAGTCAAACTGTTCATTCTGGGACCAATGCACAAGTCAAGTGCACCATAATGGCCAAAACAGCAAAAGTGCGCCTTTGTCTCACCTATTCCGCCCATGCCTACAAGCACAACAACTTCTGTGTCGACATGATTCATGATGTCTTGCACTGCATGCACCTTGTCATCCAGGCTCACCAAGTGCTCTGGCAAGCGCATCTGCAACATTTCTGTGGCACATTCGTTTAACTGTCGTAGGATCGACTTGCCCGCTAGCTGGTCTTGCACCTTCTGAATGTCCTGTCGGATGCCATGGACATGTGCTTGCACATCCAGGACAATGGTTCGAAGTTCGACATTCAGAGCAGCCAACAAATCTGAGCATCCGCAGCAAAAAAAGGAGTAAGATATTGCTGAGTTACTCAACAGCGACACCTTGCAAGCCCCCAAGGACTACCAAGACCACAGGACCAAACACTCTTGGATGCGAAAACAACTGAAGTCACCTGGTGCGGGATGAGGATTTTGTCTGTATATGATAAATGCAGCAAATGAAGGTTTCAAGCATACCTTGCAGCACAGAATCAAGTGCAGCACCAATGTTGGCAAACTGTTGCTTGATGGGTACCGCCTGCACAAACCTCCACGCCCTCTGTAGGCCCCTCGACATGCTGGAGTACCGCATCACTGCTGCCTCCGCATTACTCATCACCATCTCAACATTCTCTACCTGCAACATTCATTGAGTGGAACTTACATCACTGGGCCCACCAACACTTTGCTGCATGGGAGCTGAAGTGCTTTTCTCTCATCAGAATTTCAGATTCCCTGAGTGTGGGCAGTGATTCAACAATCTTGACCTGACATTGTTGATGGAACTAAGCCCATCATCTTCACCTTGCTGCTGCAAGGCCAATATTGACCATGTTCTGACAGTGGAAATAAACTGAATGGGCTCTTCTGTACCTGTCTCTCCAGCAACTGACAAGGGTTCTTTTGGATTTGCTCCGCCACCTGCCGCAGTGTCTCCACCCGCTTGCACACCTCCTCACACTCCTTGGTATTGGTCCTGGATGCACGGATGAACTGGAGGATGCGGCGAGAGTGCTGGAGGACAGTGTCTGCTGCAGAGAGTGGATCCATCCTTGCACACTGTGGCACGCATTTGGTCAGTTTGTAGAACAGGCAAACTTAAGCCTGCTCATGGCATGAGCATTTGCATTGCAAAGTTGCCAGGTGCATGGCAATCTTCACTTGCGCTGACATCGCCTTACTTGGCACAGCATGCAAATTGGACAAACTGTGACCATTCAAAGATAAAGGAGAGCATGGGGCAGTTTTCACTTGGGCTGCAGTTCCACCAGCAGTGCTAAATCCGGAGTACACTCAAAAAAGACGCTAAACTCGAACTTTGTGTTGCAGTCGATTTCCCCTTGCAGAAATTCTGCAAACCAGCCAATTCTGGCATTGCAAGGTAATGCCAATGCAATGCAAGGGATCCAGTGTGAGTTCAGAGCATTAGATAAGCACTGCACCCTCCAAATGGTATCCATCCAGAGGCACACAAGTCAACAGCAACTCTAGAAATAACTTTGCATGGACTTGGCGCCAATCTCGGTTGGGCGACCCAAAGTACAGTGAGAGTACGTATGCAGCGGCCCCTCAATTGCGCCCACCCCCCAATAGCGCCCTGTTCTGGGTCCTGTCATGGGTGGGCACTGTATAGGTATCGCTGTACAGGTCCGTCCACTGTATATCATCTCAACATATCCTAGTATGTGGGGAACCAACACCACAGGTGGCCAGGTGGGTGGATGCATTGATGCCTACAACATGCAAGGACACAAAACTTCTATCACAAGCCTTTGAGCACTTGTGCAAAAGGGCATTCCCCACAGGCATGCCAGCAAGTGGAAAGCAATGAGGTACGCCTCGGTGTCGTTCCCACGACCAACACACACACAGCGAGCAGTGGGCTACGGCATGAACACCAACAGGAATGCCCCTCCATCGATTTCCACGGCCAGGAAACAGCAAGGCCGAATGACAAGCGAGGTGCTGCGGATGAGGTGAGAAAGCACCGCCAGATGGCGATCTTTGTCAACTGCAAATCAGTCGGCAGTTGAGACGTGACTGCGTGTGAGTACCTTGAAGCGCGAGGGGCGGTAACCAGTCAATACTCCCGGAAGCTCATCCCAGCGTAGGCGCAGACGTTGAGCTTGCCCGACCGGCCGTACGGATTGCCGGCCGGCGCACACGACCTGTTGGGCCCCTGCAAAGCAACTCAAGACCGCCGACGTGGTGTTCAGCTCACATACATGTTCAGTTCAGGTTGGGTTGTCTAATCAGTGGTCAACGCATAGTGACTAGGACGCAGTGATTAGGACAAACTACCGTTTCGCCAACAAGACAACTTCGTAAAGAAAAAAACACTATGCTGAAAGGCTGTCCCAATGTAGGAGTGTTCAGCCACTGATTGGACGATGATGGTAGGAAAATGACAGGTGGACGATTCGAAGTCAGTCAAGTCCATTTGGACACCACCATGCAAAAACACTTTTGCTTCCGTCCCCGGGCGCCAACTGGCGAGGGCACTTCTTTCCATGTATTATCATTGATAAATTTATCAATTATACTCACTGGTAAAGGAATTGATCGATGTCCTAACTTGATTTGTCTCATACTCTAGATTTCAAGGAATGAATCATAGACACTGCTTAGTTCGGGCAAAATACGAAGCCGACGGCGACCTTCTTGCCTCGTCATGTAAAAATGACTGATGATAATGACAGATGATGGGACGGTGATAGGATGATGATAGTAGGACAATGTGCCGCATCCTCACCGTCCGCGTTTGGTCTCCTGCCGATCTCCCGTCCGGGAGGCTTCTGGACCGAGTCTGTCCAGGTGCTTCGCTCTGTACCAGTGTTGATGGCTGAGGTGCGAACGTGTTGTTAGGCTCGCTTGGGCAGGAGCACGGCCACATAACATTGTCCACTGACAGAACACCACATGTACACGGACCGTTCCTTTTGACAGCACTCACAACACCATGAATATGTTGCGCAATCAGCAAATAGAAACTAGTTTAAATGGATCTAGCTGACATATTAATATCATGGCAAATTCGCCAGATATTTTACACTTTGAGGTTGAGCACTCTGTGGACTGAACAGCCAATCTGTTTCCAGGAATTTTGGGCCATAGTACATCAATATCGATGCTAGTATCAGGCTGTACACCCTGCACTGCATAGCTAACAGATGGGCCCAAGTGGCAAGTGGCCTGTGAGTTTATCAGCTCCACGCTGTGGGTGCTGAGTGACGAACTTGGAATGGGGGTAGGAGTATGGAGCATGTTGAAAAAACAATCTGCCGCATTTTGCCCATTCTTACCCCATTGGCCTGCCTGTCCCAGGCATTTTGAAGGAAATTGCTCCCAGTTTTTGCCAGAAGCCAAATGCGCAGCAAAACTCTCAGTTGCACAGAGTTAGTTGGGGCCTTCTGGTGCAAGGACCTTTAATCGTGCATCTACCCTACCATGTCCAGTAGTGCATGAAGCAGACACAACTCAACAATGCACACACCCCTGATTTTCCGTTACAATGTCCTAAGCATGGCAACTGAACGATCTTCGTGGTGCCACACTTCAACCATCACTGCTCTGAGCCTCCAATCCCTGGGTGCCCAACAGCCAATACACTGCATGCAGCTAGTATCTGACCACTCAGCTTCCCATCGCACAACTTCCTCTCTGCATTCCTACCATACCGATGCAACAATTTCCGCCGCTTGGGGACAGAGCACCTGTACTTATGGCCGGCGTCTGACAGTTGTTCCCTGTCAGCGTGCATGCAGCACTGCGATGACATGTCTCCTGGATCCTGCTGTCTGGCATTGCCATACAGTTCGTGGCCAATGGCCACAGCACACCAGCCCATCTCTTTCTACACATGTGGTCATCCCAAGCCATGAGATATCAGCACTCCAGGGCAGCTCTCCAGCCCACATTGAGTTCAAACAATCAGCAACCCATTGGCAAAACATTTCTTGCCAATTAATCAACTAATCACCAGCTGATTGTCCAATTGCTAGCACCGAGCAACCATCCCAAGCAGCCAACAAGCACATACCACCCCACGCCACTCCCAGAGGCATCACTGCATCTCTTGAACCTCTGCAGGTCCGCCGTTTTGGATCTGTCCCCACCCAATCAGCCGCCAGTGCTTGTCTACCCGCCGGCTGAGGGCCACCTTCTCGCCCTCCTTGGTGCACACAGGCACAGTGAGCTTCAGCTTTGCCAGATCCTTCTTCACAGCCACCACCTTAGCCCCCGTGCACATGGACCCAATGTTGAGCATGAGCACCTCGTTCTTTGTCAGTTTGGACACCTTGCTCTGCTTCTGGCCCTTCTCTGTGCGGACGCCCAGGAGCTTACGCAGCAAGAAGAAGTTTATCTCCAGCTCCTTGAAGACGCTTGGCAGGGCACCCACCTCCCCAAGGACTTGTCCGACCAGGCGATCAGCACGTGTGAGGGTAGGGTCGATCTGGGAAAGGTCACAGAGTTCAAGTTTAGAGGCAAAACGTTGGCAAGGATCACGGTCACTGAGGCAGTCCCTGTTTGCACAGCACTGGCCTTCACTATATTGTTAAGAATAGTGCACTGGTAATGCAGCATGCAACATTGCTAAGCTAGCCGAATCGCAAGATAGAAAACGGCTTTGCCTTGGACAAGTCGATGGCTGAACAAATTCTTGACTGCTGCCCAACCACAATGCTACAGGCTGCCATGTCTGTTCGTTGTGCTGGCCAGCTGCGCCTTGGTTCTGTCCATTTCGTCAAGCATCACCTTTGGTCAATGTAAACTGTCCAGTTTCCAATTCTTGCCATTGAACAGGAAACAGCAAATAACAGTTCAATTTAAAAGCATTTTGCGGTATAAACTTTTCCACAGCATGCGCAGTTGGAATCTCCTAGAAATCCCACATCAGCTTCTGCACTGGCTGTACCATCAGTACAGGGATAGCAACAACTGAAGAAAGTACATTCTCAACACCTCAGGCATGGTCTCAGACATGGTCATGGGCCTGCTTGTGGGTAGGGACAGGGGAAAGTTGCATAACATCTGGCCTGGAGAAAGAAAAAGGCCGTGGCCTTCAAGGCCTGGTTCCAAAGAAGTTGATGCACTGTATTCGGCTGGTCAGGCTCAAGCAAGAGAGCTGTAGCACCATAACAGACATGCATCACAATATGATGGACGCAGAACGAATGTTCTAGAGCTTGGAACAGAGCCACATCCAGTAGAACTTGCAAGGCAGGTCGACCTTACCGTTGTTCCAACTCCAATTAGGCCCCCAGGTGCCGCATATGACAATTCGTTCTTCTCAGCAAACAGTGAGACGATCCTTGAACGGATGGGCACGCAAACAGGTTCGCCTTGCGAATCCTTTGTCAGGATTCCTGGCCGGATTTCGATCTCCTGCCCTAGTCGCAACACGCCCTGCAAGCCAAGAACACAAAAGTGTGTCATCATTCCAGAGTTGCATAATCTTGAAAGCCAAGATTACCAAGACAGTTGAGGCACTCGCTGATGCTGAGGGCCTGTTGCTGATGCACTGTTTCGCACTGTTTGTGGCGTTTTCTATTGCATTCTGTGCTTGTCACAACTCCAGTCTTCTGCATCATCATGTGCATCTCCACTGAGGCTTTTGTTTCAACATCGCAGAGGCGCAATTTGGGTGTTGACTTCATGACTCCAGAGTGGGCTCATCAGGATTCTCTAGCGCTACTTCCCATGGGAGGTAATCGACAAGGGATTGAATGCTCAATGAAGCTAATGGCACTACATTCTGTGCTCATTTGATTGATATTCTGGGGCGTTTGGGTTTCTACATTTCTCTGCAAGGAATGTTTCTTCTTGAGAATCAAAAACATCCGGACTTGTGGAACATTAGGACAGGGGAGCTCTCGGAACTTCAGGACTCTGGGCTTTCGGGTTGTTGGGACATCAGATACATTCCTGCTGACGCTACATTCTGACACTAGACACTACATTCTGATGACTTCATTGTTCCCAGTCAGCAGCCACCTCTGCACATAAACCTCTCTCAATATAGACATCTCTTTATTTTGCTTCTGACCTACATCGCCGAAAGGTGGCACAGGCTGTTCACATCATGTTCATCGTCATCATCATCATGTGCATCATGGAACAGTATTTCACTTTGCAATTTCGTCTGGCGGTGCTCATTTTATGATGAATTAGGATCCTCTGCTGCTGAAAGAGGTGTTTTTTGATGCACATGTGCTCAATCCAGACATGCATGCTCAAAACGTCAGACTGTTGGAATTCTTCTGTTCACAATTGCCTTACAATGAAGCAAATGCATTGCTTGTGAACCCATGTTGCATGCCCTGTAGTTGTCCACATGCTGTGCTGTGTGGCGGGCAACTGTGCAGCAGGCTCCCTTCCTATCAAGGTATTCAAGCAACAGGCATTTACCACAGAAGTGCCAGGCTTGAAACTGCTCCTGGTAGAGACTCAACATCCCACCCCTGCACTCTTTGCTTGGTATCTTTTGTGAAAACCACAATCGTAGTCCAGCAACATCATTGTCAAGTGGCTGCAGCTGATGAAATTGACACACCAAAGGAACCGATGGGCCAACGATGGTGTGCATCATATCATTATTGTACTTGAAGCAATGATGGTAAGTAGCCTGCCCAGGGTAATGACACATTTCTAGAAATTTCTGTTGTTCATGTAAATGAAGGGCCTTGCTTCCAAAAGTCTCAAAAGCATTTGGGCTGGTGCTGGGCAGCATGACTTCGGCATCCAACCATATTTAAATGACTGGCAAGGTGCACACGACTGATTGCAGTACCTGAAGTATGCTGCCACCAGCAACCCCACCCTTCAGCTCCTCGACTTCAGAACCCGGTTTGTTGACATCGAAAGAACGAATGACAATCATTTGTGGTGGTGACACAAAGTCCCTGTCAGAGAAGAACAATACATGGAACACTGACACCACAAGGTATCTGCTCAGCAGTACAGTCTAAGTGCAACATGTGCAGCTCTAAATGAGGAGCTGTCACTGCAACCTGGATGGAAAGCAGCATGTTATTGCACATGTTTAACGATTTTCTTTGATTCCATATTGCACTGTGAAACAACACAATTAAGACCAAGTGCTCGCTGTTTCATGCGCACAACTAAATCTGGCCTGGACTGTGCTCCATCACACAGGCACATTAGCAATGTCACCAGCACCACTCTTGCGCAGTGCCCAAGCTCCAGCACAAGCAACAGTTTGCACTGATTGAGTGGTGATTAGCAAATTCTGTGGTACATGTGTTGCCCAATGCCTTTACAGCGAAAGCGAATTGCTACATTTGTCAAACGCAGCTCAAACAGCAAGTCACTTTCCCAGTCAAAGGAATTGCTGAAGAAACCATGCTCCAAACAACAGGCCAGCTGACTGGCTTCTGCCATTTTGCTTTCAATTCACCACAGCATCAAGGATAACAAATTTCAGCAAATAAATGGCTGAGCAGTGCTGTAGAAAACACAGTTGGCCTCCTCTGCAGACTCAGAGTACTGTGTTGGTCTGTGAAGATAGATGTGTTCAAAGCAGATTTACTGCTTGCACTGTAGCCACTCACCTGACAGGGATGGGTATCTTTTTCACTATGTACTCGCAAACCACATCAACATTGTATTTGAGCTGGGCAGAGATTGGAATCACTGGTGCACCATCCGCGATCGTGCCTTGGATGAATTGATGAATTGACTCATGCTGGTTTGCAGCAGTGCTTTGGCTGATCAGGTCCACCTGTCAGAAGGGAGAGGGCATCAGATTAGCAAACGACAGCAGGAGATATCCCAAAAATCAAACAAACGCCCAACAATGCACACAGCCACCCAACTATGAGCGCCATGAGTTCCTTGTTGCCATGTTGTTCCTGGGACTCACTGTTAGGTGCCAAACCTTCCACCGGAAATCTACTTCAACATCTCATGAAGTACGACTATAGATATCCAGCCAGCAGTCTTCAGTTCTATTCAGTGCTTGATTGCACAGCACAATGAGGTCAAAGCAGTTGTAGGTACGAGCAGCGCCTGACTGCTCTTTAGGTGCAAGGACACTGTTACGTTTTCCTTCTTCAAACACCATATCCATTCCAAGTCTTCAGGGCAAATGGTGCCCCAAAATGCTCAGGAATGTGCTGGTGATCAGTAGACACATTCTTGCCCTCTATGAAAGGCATGTCACACATGCGAAGTACCCAGAGCTCCATTTTCCTGACATAAGATGACCCTTTGGGCCACAACCATGACTTCCAGCTCAAGACCAACCCCTCCACTGTTAAGCTTCAAATTACCGTTTCACCGACAAGGGTGCTGGGACCTATGTCAATGCGATGTCAGTCAGATGATGAAAACAGCAATTTTTGTTCTATCCTACCCTTTGCTTCCGCAACAAAGGGACATAGGTTTCAGCTCATTTCAGCGGTTTCAAGCAGCAATGCCAATTCAGGATCTGATGGGACATAGCCCCCCCATCGCAGCTTGTGGCTCTCCAACATGCAACAGGTGCCTTGATACAATTTGCCAACGTTGCATGATGAAATGAATGGAACCCCTTTTCTCTCCCATTCCTATCTCCTAGCAGTTAGTACAATTCTGGTTTAGGAATGCACACCTAAAATCTTAAGGGTGCCTTGAGGGTGCAAAAGCTGTGTCCTTGTTAGAAAAATGGTGTGATCAATTGATGCACACACCTTGTTCTGGACAATGATGATATCCTTCAGCCTCATGATCTCCACCGCAGCCAGGTGTTCAGATGTCTGTGGCTGGGGACAGGCTTCGTTGGCTGCGATCAACAGCAGTGCACCATCCATGACGGCCGCCCCATTAAGCATTGTGGCCATCAAAATATCGTGCCCAGGGCAGTCCACAAAGGACACATGGCGCACAAGCTCGTACGTGCCCCCACACTTGTCGCAGTTGAACACGTCCTCCTTGGAGCTTCCATATGCGACATAGGAGTCGGGGCGCTCACACTGGGGGTTGGAACACTTGAAGATCTTGGCATTGGCATAGCCAAGCTTGATGGTGATGTTGCGCTCCATCTCATTCTTGAAACGCACAGTGTGCACACCCGAGATGGCCTTCACAAGGGTGGACTTCCCATGAGCGACATGGCCAATAGTGCCTGGGATAAGACAATCGTGCTCAACGGAATCCTGACAGAAGAACCTGAACAGTGCTGGAACAACGTTCCCAAGGTTCAAATGTGCACATACAAACTCCCTAGAAACTGCCTGTCTCTTGTCATTTGTGGTACTTGCATTGCCTGCTGGTCCTTGTGCACTTGTGCATCACCATCAGCAGTATGGGCAAAGTTCTCACAAGACTTCTTGCTCAACAAGGGGGCCTTCAAACTCTAATAAAGGTCCATTCCAATAGAGACAACAATATTTGGCAGCTGCACGGAAGGATCTGGTAAAACTACAACATTGAATCTATGGCATTGGCTAAAAACTATCTCAATGCTCATGTGTTAATAAAGGATAATCGTCAATGCCATGTGGAGGAACTGCAGTACGACATTCACTTGTTGTCAGGCATTGGACGATGACTTGGATACCAGGAGTCTAGAGAGTGCACTGGCAGTACCTCTGACATTCATTACTACTTCCTAACGCCCAACAGTGGCAACATGAGCCCTGCCATCGATCCCACCAGCTTTGCCAATGCTCGGCAACCTGGCCTTTCTTGCAGCAAGTGAAGCCTTTCAAGCAAAACCATCTGGCTGTGTGTATACCAAACGGGTCAACACTAGCATTTAATCTGGGCTGGTCACATAAAAGTTGCATTCCCTGAACAACTTTGGCAGACTCTGATGCGTTCCAGATTCCAAGAGCGCCCTTCCCGCTTACCACCAATTGCCGGGCGGGATGCTGTGGGTTGGTGCACGGATCAATCGCTACTAAACACGTGAGACACAGACTGTAGCAGCCTCTCTAAGGTGCAAAGACATTGTTTCGCCCCCTCAAAGCAAGACCATTCCAAAATAATCTGTTTCAGATACAACCAGACGACTCCTGCATTCGGGCTCCACCATGGATGCTTGTCCAATGCCCAGGGCCGCCCCCACAACGCATCCGCAACAGCCGCCAAGGGCTCCAAAGCCGACAGCCTGCGGCCACGGCGCGCCGCCGCGCGGCTTCCGCTCACCGATGTTGATAGTCGCCTGGCGGCTGATCACGTCGATCGACAGCGGCGTCAACTTGCTGGGGTCCAGCGTCTCCAGATTCTGCGCACGGCACGCCGCTCAGATGCCATCAGTCGACGACCTAAAACACGCCCGGCAGCGCCCCAAGCCGGCCGCGGACCCGGCCCCGTGCCCACCTGTTCCCTCAGCCCCTTGGACTTCGACATGTCTGCTGCAGCCGCGGCGCGATGTCGATTTGGGGGCCCTCTCGCGCTGTGGGCTGTGGTATTTACAGCGGGCGGGCGGGCCAAGCAACGGAGCAGGGACGCCCAATGGCAACCCAAGAGGGAGGGCTGGCAAAGCGCTGCAGGCGCGACCAACAGGCAGAGGGTGCACACACACACCGGAGGCCGGAGGCGCAGGCCACAAACACGCGTGCTGCAGTCAGCGCCCCAGTTTCGACTAGCTTCCGCTGTACGGACATAAGTATCGGTGTGGTGCCGGCGTAAATACGCCCCCGCGCCCCGCAAACCATGTACGTACTCGGCGTTGCACTCGGTATGCAGTGTACACTGTAGTTGGTGTGCCCGGCAATACTCGGCGTAATCGTATGTAGGTGTTCGCGCGTCGCCCCAGCCGCAGTGGACCATGGCGGGCCGGTGGCTCCCGCTGGGCCGCCGGGCGGCGGCCGCCCTGGGCGGCGGCGCAAAAGACGCTACAATGAAGGCTTGCGGGGGTGCATGGATTGAGGGAATGCCGACGGCAGGGATGGCATCGGAGGCGTCGTGCGCGCACTCGCCGGGGGACGCCGACGGCGCGACGGGGAGGGTCTACCGGAATGTCGGCGTGGAGAGGGCCGAAGGCAAGGTTTGCAAACGTTGGAATTGTGCACTAGTGGTTTGTGTGGGTTCCGCTTGTGTCGTTGCGAGATCTGGTCGTGAATGGATAGAACTCATGAACAGGCCGGGGGGGTGGGTGTGATCTCGCTGTGGGAATCCACCGACTTTGGGAGCAACGCAATAGACGCGACTCGCCGCGGCCTCTTTAGGGTATCTGGCGTTGCCGGCGTTGGGATGCCTCTGGCCTCCTGGCCGGGCATTGATTGCGACCAACGTGGGAGTACAGCATGCGAATGATGTCCTTTTCCTTCCTTTCCTCCGGGCTAAGCCTGTTTCATAAGCACGGCGTCGTTCATTCAACCGAACGCGAGGGGATATGCAGTGTGTTGCGACCCCGTATGAGCCGGTGGCCCACTGTTAGTGCATTGTTTCAAATTGAAAGTGCTGGAAAGCCACCAAGCGTAGGAGAATCGCAGAAGGTCGCCATTCTGATCGGCACGTGGAGAGTGTAGGGATCGCAGTGAAAAGCGTTAATGGCCCCCCCCTCCTCCCCCCCCCGCCATGAAAGCCACAGCGAAGGGCAGTGTGATTATCACGGAATGTGCATGTCAGCAAGACATGAAAAGCAAAAGGTTACCGCTTTGTCAAGTTGGGCGAATGTAGGGAATTCGTAGTAACTTGTGAGCATAATTGCAGGGAGGCTATGCAGTTCTGCTGGATGGCAGGGCCCTGAAGACACCAGCAGGACATCAGTTTGTCCTGCCCACCTACCGCCTGGCGCTGGCGATCGCGGCTGAATGGGAGTGGCAGGTATTGTCAGGGAAGCCGCCACAGCCCTCATACATTACATTCAAGCAAGGGTCGATCCCTGCCCGCGTCCGTATTGGGCGAGTTCGATTGAAGGGACTCACAACCCCTTTGTAGTGTTTGCACATGAGCTCACAGCAGCTCCAAGGGGACAATCATAGAATTCTGACCATCCATCAAACCAGTTCCCATACACTTGTTGGGCGATGTCCAGTGCTGCTCGCAGCTTCTTTTGTTGTGCAGTGCCTTGGATGAAATAGCTGCAAGTGTTGTTCAACATCGTTTGTAGTCACCGTTTGCCATCCGGCAGCCCCCTAAGCACTGCCAGTTGGCAACAAAGGGATCGCAAATTTGAATTTGATGGCCTGATGCCCGACCTGCTGGAGAATGGTGTGCCTACACTGGCATCAAACGTATGCACTGTAGTGTATGGCCATTAATGGCCATTAATATCAGTAAATTCGTTTGCAAATTTCATATTCATCATCGCTACCTTTGGTCTCCTGTCTGACGAAATCAGATATGAGTTGTTGCAAGTCTCAAGAAGATTTTGCTGCGTGTGCAACTCCAATATCCTGTTCATGGATTTCTGGCAGCAATTTTTTGGACGGCAGTTAGTCTGGCTTTGCCGATTGCTCTCATTGCTTTCATGTTCATTGTGCTACAGAAAGGGAGGTCAATATGGCCAATCACTATGCCGATCCATTCCCTTGCAGCAACATCCATTGACATGGTAAGAACCTGCAGCAGCGAGGGCGATGTTCACGCTCAATGTCAGATACATGGAAATGCCCTGAATTCTGCCTATTGTATTGTGTTTAGGCAAAGTATTGGCCCGTGGTGAAGGCAAGTGTGTGATATTTTTCCCATTCCTGCTTACCTATCACTACTGTTTGCCTGCTTTGCGATTAATTGTCGACAGTGTCTCTTGTTTTTGGTGACTGTGTGCGCAGACTTGTCTTTTTTTGGTGTGTGGGTGCTGCTGCATGAAGATGCCTGTGCCCAACACGTTTGTCTATTTGTGCCCAGCCAAAGCCAAGGATCCGGGTGATAGAAGACATGTTGCACTTCATCCACACCGATGCAGTTTGCTGCAGGGTCGATCCAGGAGAGCTTGCTGACAAGCAAGCAGAGGTGAATGCAGTACAGCTGCCTCAGGACAGGAGATCTGCCTATGCCCCCATGACGATGGTCCAGCTTTGCTTGCTGTCGAGCGACTGTCATGTTTATGCTCTGTGGATTGTCAACGAGCAAACATTTTGAAACAGCCTTTTTGAAACATAATTGAAAATGCTAGAGTGCCTATCAATGCTGGCAAGGTGCATGGGAAGTGCCGCTGGGTGTAGTCTTGGTGAAAATGCCAATATTATGTTGCGAAAAACATCAAGCATTGTACTGAATGATTAATTCTTCCTCAGACCAGTATTAAATAGAACAATTTTCTTGGAGGCTACATTTGTATCAAGTCCTTGTTTGTTTTCCTTGAAAATGCAACCAGGAAGTGTGTATAGTTGTCGTTGATAAAGTAACACAAATTTCCATGTGCTGTCTACGTGAAAATGCAGTGCAATTTAACAATCGCAGTCAGTTTGGATGGGGTATAAGCAGTGAATTGCAACTTCTTGACGAAGAGCACTTCATTTTTTGTTGTCACAATGGAAAGTGCAGCTGAAAGAGCAACTGTTGTGCACAGATGTACAATCCTCTGGTTTCCTGGGTTGTGGATCGCTTTGGGGTGCAGCTGGAGCTGTCCGACACCATCTTTGGGGCGCAACAATCAGAATCCACTGTTGATGTGTTTCATCAGTATCTGCAAGGTGAAATGCGCCGGACACTGGCATCGAGTCTTGGCAAGAATGCAGTGGATTGTGCATTTCCTTCCTGATCAATATTGGTGACATTCCCTGTCTGGGCTGCCTGTCGGATGCTGCAGGAAAGTGGTTTGGTTGATTTTGGCACCTGGGCTCACACCCATCCCCATTTGAATGCCTGGTTCCTTGCCAACGTGAATGCTGTCTGTTGTGTGCTGATCAGTTCTAGCTTGGAGCCCATTGTTGCAATATGCCAGCCAGCCAGTCAGTCAAACAGTCAGTCCTGCTCATATGTGAGTGTGCTAGCCTCCCGCTGCCTTTGGGCGCAGGTCTTGATGCCTGGCACCTGACGGCTGCTGACGCAATGGCCAGCTCCTGCAAATCGCTGATCATTGGCCTGGCGCTCCTCAACGATCGCGTATCGCTGCTGGAGGCAATAGAAATTTCTCGGCTGGAGGAGGAGTTTCAAATAGGGGCGTGGGGTCTGGTGGAGGGTGGCCACGATCTGGATATTGCCGAAACAAAAGTGCGGTTGTCGTCCACCAAAGCTTTTGTGCGTCTGCTCAAAAGCTGACTGGTCTCCACTGACAGCTGTGTGGCATTGTTTATCATTGCATGACTGCTATGTGAAGTGGCTTTCTGGGCCCCTGACGTGGTCAGAGTGTAAACTGGACTCGTACATGTGTGTTTGGCACCTTGTGCCACAGCAATTCAGGGTTTAGGTGGGAGCCTCAGGTGTGGAATTATCTGAAACTGATCGTCTCCATTGAAAAATTGAGAGGACCATAGGGACCTTGGCGAAAATTGACTGAGCGTCCCAGCAGCTGGAAAGTGTGAACTCATGCATGTCCTTCACCAAGATAAATCGGCTTCTGCACCCACACTTCCCATGTCGAATGATCACGCAGCCAAAACATACGTGCAAGCATCCCAAATAGGGAAGCACCCAAGTGAGGTGGTGCTCATTCATCTTGAATGGGAAGTTTTTTGATAGCCAGTGAATTTGGGTGTTGATTCCCAAGATCCCATCTTGTCAGCTGCGATGGAGCCTCGTGACACCAGTTTGAGAAACGTGTTCCTACGAGTATGCCTGCGCATCGGAGTGGGAACGACTGTCACTAAGTTCACCTCTTCCAACCCGCTGCTGCATTCCTGGTTGGGCATGACAGACTTTGTCTCACTGTTTGTGAACGTGCATCTGCCGTTTTCTCAACAGCGAACATTACGTTTGGGAACTCTTGGACGCATCTGCGTTCCACATTCACTGGAAAGGAGAACGGCGTTGTCACTTCTCCCCTGCGGTGATCTTGCTCAGAGTTCATCTCCTTGGCTTGCTGCGGAAGGGGCAGTCTGTTTCCGCAGTCTTTACAGGGCTCTGGTTCCCCTCATTGATTTCTTGGGACATTTTCCGAACAAGAATCTTGCCAAACGTGTTGTACTCCTCTGTGGCAGACTGAAGTCAGAACCATTCTGGAAGTGTTGCAGCGCTGTGCGTTGGGTTCCTGAGTGCCAGAATGAACGATTCCCAAGCACCAACGCCCAAACGGTGGGGGCCAGGGGGACCCGACTCAGGCGATGGGTGCGCACCCGGTCGCCATTCACGCCGTCCCCCAAATTTCCATGAATTCCTGCATCAGCCATCCATCCGCCTCCCACGCCCGCCTCCGGCGCAATGACTGCCCACCCCAGCCAAACACAGCGCCCACCCGACAGCTTGGCCCGCACACTTCCCGAAGCGCGGAGGCCGCGGCCGCCGTCGCCACAACTCCCCCACCCCGCGGCGCAAACAGACCCCTTAATGTGCGCGGCGATCCGCACCCATCTGTGAATTGATACCGCCGGGTGACGCCATGGATGGCTGGGCGCAATGGCCACCCCGTGCTCCCGGGTTCCCGCCCCCAGACGCTGATCGATCCCACGACAGGCCCCAGAGCCGCGATTGGCAGCGGGAGGCGCATGTAGGATCGGAGGCGTGGCCGGCGTCTGGCGGTGAATCCGGGGGATCGAGAGGGGGCTCGTCTGCTCAAGTGGGGGCCTCGCCTTGCTGGCCTCCCCAGTACGCGCGGGGGCGGCAGCCGGGCGGGGGCCGAACGGCCGGACTGGAGCAGGGCTGTGGATTCTCCGGAGATCACCGGGTGAGTGGAGGGGTGCGGGCGAGGGCGCGGAAGGCATCTGCTGATGGTGCATTTGCCATTGGGGGCTGGCGGTGGCCTCGTGCCTGGCGGTGGATGTCGGGCACTTTTGCTGAGGGTGTTCTTGTGGCCTGACGGTTTCATGGCGCCTCGCTCCGACCCATCGCGCACAGTACAGCGAAGGGGATGGGATTGGAATGGCCCCGAGCAGGTAGAGGAATTGGCACCGGCAGAGTGTGTTGATCTTTTGGCTGTGCTCGTTGCAAAGTTACAAGACAAGCCCTTGCACCTGCGGCGCGATGTCGGGCATAGCCCACGTGCAGATTGTCCAAATGCGATCGATGTGAACGCCAAAGTCCAGTGCAGCCCGCTGGGAGTCCTTGAGCACCGTGGCTGGTGCCATATGTGTTTCTGTCTCCACCTCCTGCACTGTTGCAGAGGCTGAATCCCTGTTCAGTGTATCAGATGAAGGCCGATATTTGAGCAGCGAAATCCACTGCAAATTGATCTTTGCTTTCTTCTAATTGTGGGAAATAATGGTCATCTGCAAATGGGCATGTAGTGTCCACTATTGGATGTGGCACCATGTGTCTTCAGTGCATCCATTCCCTCCATGCGACAAACTATGTTGAACCTAGCCCCTGTCGTGCCAGGGCGCTGATGCACATCATTTGGGTAGCAGCAGAGGTGTGGGTGTAGGTGGGGTGAGTGCAGGGTAGGTGGGGGTAGGTAGGTGGGGGTGGGTGAGGGGTAGGTGGGGGGTGGGGGCTGCACTGGTGGCTGGATCTCACAAGTGCCAGCTTGCAGCCTACTCGTGATGATGTGCAGATTGTCCTCCTGACTGGTAGGAATGGGAGGAATGAATGCTTGTATCCGCTGCAGAGAATGATAGGCTGATGATGGCATTTTTCCCAGCAGAGGTCAGATTATCTGGCACCTTCAACTTTTCTCTGGTCTTCAACGCCCTTGCAATGATTGGCAACAATATGACCTAGCTTCCATGTCGTACGAGCACAAAAAGTACACAGGTCGCCAGACAGTAGACAATCCAGAGACACCCCACTGTTAGCTCATTGACAGGGAGGACTTGTCATACAATGGACGCACATCTCCGCAACGGTTTTTGCAAGATTCACACCCGCAACACAATAAGGATACTGACTCTGAGTGCGATCAACACAGAACAGCATGAGTGACAAGAACATGCACAAGATGTTCTGTGGCTTGCGCAGGCTTCTGTTAACAATCCAAGTTCACCCAACTGGTCAGCAGGAGGTATCATAAACGTTCAAAACCACGGGCCCACTGTGAACAGCCCCCAATATGCCAATGCAGGTAGTGTTGGGCTATCCACCTATCAGACGAGTCAAGGCACCAACTGGTCCACTGGTGCAGAGGACAGTCATTCCAGGATCGGCACTCCTCTGAGTGCGGCACCCACTGATTGGCACTCTCAAAATGCCTGGGGAGGTCAGGCCCAGTCTCCTGTTGGCAACAAAAGGGACCAGGAGCGCTGCCCCCAGCAGGGCCATCCAGGGAGCATGTATGACGATGAACATTGTTTAGGTGCTGGACTTGAAGCACTGCAACTAAAACCAGAAGCAAGGGAAGGGAGTGATGGCCGTGGTGGCGCGACTTCCCCCTATTCGCATCATCTTGATCAGCATGGTGTGCCACTGAGAGGAGGTGACCAAGCAGGGTGCTTGAGCAAAAGGGATGGATACATGCCCCAACCATCCCCAGGTGATGATCGCAACAGTGGGGGACACTTGACTGACCCAAGTTGGGAGAGTTCTGGCAGGAGATCAACAGGGGAGCTGGACCAATGGCAAAGGGACCAGTGCTGGAATCCAGGATTGCAACCTTATTCAAATGAAAGGGGCGAAGTTGTTTGCCAAGAAAGCACCGCTACCCCATCGAATGGCTACAGTGGCTGGAGGCATAGCCACCCTGACTTCTCTGGCAGCTGTTGTGATGGTAATTCCTGGGATCGCCAAGGATATGGGCCATCTCATCTGAATGCCAATTGCCCATGGGCTGAGTCAAGCACTTCAAGAGCCCAGAGGATGCAGGTACAACAGGGTGGGGAGCACGGCAGTGGGCAGGCCGACACAAGGTGCTCTGTGGGTGTGGAAGCGGTGCCACACACCCACCCCACTTCTGTCCATCATTGCACCGCCTTCAGCTCTGCGGGCTATCTGGGGGATGTGCAATACCCAGGCTTTCAGGGTGCCTCACATGTAGGGCACCCACAGGAGGCCTTTGGCCACAGCGATTCGGCTGTGCGTCCTGCACGCTCTCCCACATTCCATGATGGACCACTTTCTGGGCCAGCTGCTCACGAGCTGCCACATCTGGGTCCTCTTCACAATTCATCACCCATGCATGGGCCCCCTGACGTGCCCTCCCCAGCAGCCACACCCTGTGTGTCGCCCCCTGGCCAGCCCCACAACTGGGGGCCAACACAAGGGGTGTGCCAGCAGGAGCCGCCACCTGGACCACCCCCTGCACCGCCTGTCCATGTAGCCTCTCAAAAACTACCACCCCATGGATCCCCTGAGCTACATCGTGGGCCACCCCCTGGGCTGTCGCATGGGCCCCCTTCTAAGCCCCCTTCTGTCATGCCTTTTGGGCCCCCATCTGGGCCCCCATCTGGGCCGCCATCTGCCGCTTATCTGCTTATTCGCTTATTCTGGCCGCTTGTCTGCCGGGCCATTTCCGGGCTTATTCTGGGCTCGCCATCTGCGCTTATCTGACCGGGCCATATTCGGGCCGCTTATCTGCCGCTAACTAGGCCGCTTATTCTGTCGCTTATCTGCCGCGGGCGACGAGTCGCGAGATCTATTAAAAGATCTGATTCACTGTGGCTACCTTCCCCGATTGTCTCAGGCTCTTTTCTAGGCTCTTGTCACGCAGAGTCTCATACTCAGGCCGCGATCTGACCGCCTTTGCCTGGATCGCCTCGATCCGACGCCGCTATTGCGGCTCCCCTTTGACCGCCTCTGGGTCTCTTTGACCACTCCTCAGGCTCCCTCTTTCCAGGCTACTCACATGGACCGCCTCCACATGGACCGCCTCCACATGGACCGCCTCCACATGGACCGCCTCCGCATGGACCACCTCCACATGGACCGCCTCCACGTGGCCCACCTCCTGGGCGATCACAAGGACCGCCCCAGCACGAGCCCCAGCATGGAACATTCCCTTACAGGCACCCTGCCAGGTCAGATCCAGTCCAACCATGTTTCACATCTCCCCGGCGAGACAATGAGCGGCTTTCAGGAGATGAGTCCGAACATGAAGCGTACAAGGCTGGTACGGGAAGAAGCCAGGCAAGTCCGCCACACAGCCCTGTGGCCAAGGATAGACCCCCCTTCTCTGCTGACAGTAGCACTGCGGAGTCTGCTGGCACTTCACAGCGATCGTGGAGGAATGACAGAGCCCACAAGAAGCAAGAGGGAGCTAGGCACAGCTTTCAAGAGTGGTTCTCTGCTGCGGGGCTTGGAACAGGAAAGGGGGCAGCCATGAATGGCTTGGGCAGAGGCCAGGGGGCCACTCAGGGCAGCGGTGCAGAGCGCAAGCAACAGTTCTTGAAGAGGTGTCTACAATGCATCCAGCAGGACAGGAGGAATTTCGTGGTCGTTCCCCCAATAGGCAGTGCTAAGGCACACATTCTAGTGGAGGCTGTGAGGTAGGAATTGCCCATCGGCCTTGTGAGGAGGCGGTAGTTCTGAACATATTTTATTTTCATCTTTTTGCGCTCCAATTCCAGCTGTATGACCTGCCTCCAAGACCTTGGCTCTGGAATATTTACTACGTTTTCAATGGAACGAATTGCCACATATGCCGCTGCAGATATTCAGCTGCTGCTTATGAACAGGCTGATATTGGTCCCACCCATTACCCTTACTTGGAAAATAGGGACCAAGGTCGCTGTGTGGCTGTGTCTCTTTTTTGTTAGCCATTCGTCAAATGCTATTGATGTGGATTTGCAGGCTGGCTCTACTCCAGAACTGTTCTGCCAAAATCGTGGTCGTCTTGCCAGAAGCATTTCTGGCCCCCAGGGTGGCATCGCTGTTCATCGCTGGGCTTGCAAACGCCACCTGGCATGTGGATGTGTTTGCACCAATGAGGCAGGCCAATGCAAACAATTGGGAATTGAAGTGGGCAGACAACAATGTCATGGTCATGTCGGCGGCGTCTTTGCTTCGACTGTTGAATGGCAGAGAAGCCAAACCTGTTGCTGGCTGTTCAAAAACCAACGATCCAACACTGGATCTTGATGATATAGACATGATGGTGGGTTGATGCCTTCTTGCACTTCTCTTTTCTGATGTTGGAGCATTTATGGCTGGTTGCAGTAGACATTACTTCATTCTTTCTTATGTACTGCAACACTATTGCGGCACCATTGCTATCGGGGCCAGACAATGTAGAGGATACCCTTGGGAACAGGCAGAAACATGTTTCAATCAGCACGGGGTACAAAACTGGAGGACCTTAGCAGGATGTAAGAGAACATTGTTGTGCATGCCACAAGGTTGGCTGGAACCACTTTGCCTATTGTCAGTGGTCAAAATGCATGGTTCCTTGAGATTTGCATTTGAGACTGCCTGCTGACCATGGCTGCTTTGCAAGTTCTGCGCAGCTCTATTCTGAGTTCCCTTTGCTGTTCTCAGAGGAGCAAATTATGTGCACTGGGAGCTGCAAATGCTGGCAATTCTCAGTGCAGCAAACACTGTGCTTGTCTTCAGGTCCTCGATGATGTCCATCGTGCACATGGAGACAGAACGGCATACAGCAAGGTTGTGCAGTTGTACTCCACAAGGACTGCGCAACAACGCATCAAGCGACCGAGGGTAAGGACGTCAATTTGCAGCATGACAGTTGTTACCTGACCTTTATGAGTCCATCCTGGCTTTGTGGGCCTTTGATGATCGAAAAAATTTGTTTGCCTTGATAATCGAGTCACGTTCAAGTGTGCAGTGCAAGGCTATGCACTGATATTTGGGGTCATTTTGTAGGTGCTGGGAGTTACGATGTTCCCACACAGGATGGGCGATCCGGTGAGAAAACCATCATTGCGATGTATTCTATTGATATTTCACTGTGATTTTCCAGCATTTGGACTCTGTCCTTGTTCTGGCAAGTCGTGGGTGCACACCGGGGGGCAGACTATTTGAGACAGTCCTGCACATTCTGGGAACAAATACTGTGGAGTTCAGAGTGTCGATCATCGCCATTCATGTGCAGGGGTCACATCTGTAAAATCGTTAGTGAAGAAAAGAACTCCATGCTAAAGAATCGAAGAACAAGTGAAGTATTCAGCTTTTGTTGTTGTTGTTGTTGTTGCTGCCGCAAATCGGATGGATTAGAGATCCTGTAATGTACATGATGTTGTCTCCTTCCTGTACTGGTAAGTTTCCATCTAGTCTGCAGCTTGGGAATTGCATCCCTTACAAGGAGGCAGCAGTGCCACCCTGAACTTTGATGTGAGTTCACCAAACTCTGTCCAGGGTTCCTTCCCAATGTATGGGGTAAATCAGGTCATTGCAGTGCAAGTCTGAACTGTCCGTGTGGCAACAGTTGGTTTCCACTGCAATTGATTATCTACACAGTTGCTGCACTCTTTAGTGCCTTGCATTAAGATGAATTGGCAAAGCTCATTCTGGGAACAGTGGCTGTTAGCAAGGGATTCATAAACAGGGCTGCCCACAGCCATCACTTGGAACTCTTGACGATGTTGATCCATTCCATAGTAGGGTGATATTTCAGGCTCCGTTGGCCATGTGATGTCATCAATCTGTTTTCAGGATTGTGAGCGAGCGATTATGCTGGCTTTCCATGCTTAAGGCTACTACACAGTATTCCAGAAACTCTGTCCAGTTCCTGTTGCTCGTGAAAAGCTGCAGACTTCTCCCTGTAACAAGTGGTTGTGAATGCTTCTACTGTCAAAGTACCACGTCGCATTTGCATGTCTGCATGTCTGCATGTGATGGCCTGTGCCAAAATGGGCAATTCTTGCCACAGGTGAACGCTGTGCACAGCTGGAATGGGCTGGTGGGCAAGTTGACTGCCACAGTGCTGTGCATGGAAGATGAGCAGGCTGAAGTGGAAAAGCTCAATGCACCCATGCACCAGGAAGAGGCACTGCTGGTCAATCGCAGGGACAAGGACCAGCACTTCGAGAGGGACATGGGCGAGTTTGTTGCCACTGTCTTCTCCATGTTCGAGCATGTGCAGGGCATGCGTGCAGGTGGGGCCATGCCCAACTGTGCCTGCACCTTCCCCACTGGAGGTCCTGCCCCCACATCTGGTGTAGAAAGCAGCATCCTATGGGCATAAACAACGGACGGTGTTTATAAACGCATTTGGCTGCATTATCAAGTGCTCCTTTGGAAGTGCTGAGACACATTGTGGATTGCAAACATCTAATCATTGACCATATTTATCAAGTGTTTATTGGATGTGCTTAGTTGTGGTGAGTCAGTGCCATTGCGGGTACTAGGAGTATTCAGGGATATCTAATGGGCAGGACCACATCCATTGTGCAATATTTGCCAGAGTTTATCTGAAGCTCATGGCTAGTGATGATCTTAAGATTGAGTCCAGAAGTGTTGCACCTGTGTTCTACTTGGGTATCCATCCCAGGAAAACATTTCTGAGCACTAACACTGAGGCAGTGCTAATATCAACTGGTATGGTCGTGTGTGGTAGGGTTTTTGTCTGACGTTGTTGCTTGGCTGCCTTCAGATCTGGCTTCTCTTGGGCCTATCCCCAGCCCACTACGTGTGTCCAAAGGCCAGTTCTGCGACAAGACTAGCAGATGGTTGAAGCAAGCAATTGAGGGAATCCAGTTTGATAGGGATATAAGTTTGACTGAAAGGAGTGACCTCCTGGCATGCCTCCACCTCCTGCAAACGCTGCATGATGCACTAGATATCTCGCATGAGTTTGGTTGCCAGATGGCGCTAAAGCACATTTGGGACACAGTGGACGACATGTCCAAGAGCCAGACCCTGGCCTGCCTCAGGGAACAGAGCCAGGTGCCCTTCATAGGCCAGATGCTGGACTGTCTGTGCAAAATGCCCTGCATGTGCGAGCAGCTGCCCTCAGATGTGAACCCTTCACTCGTGGACTGTGTGTGGTTCCCAAGGTTCACTGCCCTAGTGAGCATGTTGGCAGGCCATGCCGCTCGCGACAAGTAAGGCAACACCTTCAAAGTGCTGTTGAATGTTCCAAGCATGATTTCAAAGCCAATGGTGAATCGTGTACATGGTTGTTCTGTATTGGGCACCTCCAATGACAATTGATGCTTGTTGCAATGCAGTGATCATTGGTGTGATTAACTTCTATCATAGGCACCCACCACATGGTTGTGCACTTGAAGATCCACTGATCCTTGTTATTTCTGTGAACTCACTTGTCCCAAGTGCATGACAGAGAGAGCCCTGCCAACTGAGAGTGATTATTTGCTGACAACAACAATATTCACTAATGCCTCCTTGGATTCCGGCTAGTCTGTGTGTTGCATCTGGTGCAGCTTACATCACATGTGATGGGGGCTATGGCTAAGCATGTATTTTCTGCTGGTTGATGTTGGTTATGTTTTTCTATCATGGTCTTGAACCTGGGAGTGGGCATCAATGGCCATTTTGGATGATGTGGGCTTGGGCACAAGTGACATGGTGGTTAGGGATGCAATGGTCCATGGTATTAACAAGTATGATTGTTGCATTTCTGAATTGTCAGGTGTTAAAAGGCATTTGTCGAACAATGGCAAGTATGCTATTAGCTCGGTGCATACCAATGCATGCTCCTAATTGTGTTGCTTCACAATGCTCAATGGCATGGGAGTGACACTCAAACAAGATGACATCTTCTTGTTTCACATGTCGTTGAAATGTGAAATGTGGAACAAGAAAATGTAGCAAACCCAAACATTCAGCAGATTCCTAAGCTGTCATGAGTGTAGGGTCGCCATCGTCACCATAGTCATTGTGACTTTGCGGCAATATGCTATTCACGTAATACTTCCATAAGGATATCAACTAGCATTTTCATGTCATGAATTGGTTTGTGTGCATGGCGCACTGGGCCAAAAGCGTAGATGCCAAATTGTCTTAGCACTTGTGCATTTTGTTGCCCATGTGGCTCAATGTGTCCCACATCTTTCACGAGTATACAGAGTTATTGTTCACATCCATTTAAAGAAATTCTAAATTTGAATCTGATGCTGAATTTCAATGCTGAAATTTGAAGTGGTCTGCAACAACAAACAACATGATCAATATTTCATGCACTCTACCCTTTGCCCAATTTAATTTGGTTACCACTTGTTTCAGTGTATAACATGCAATTATCTTTTGTAGGTTTCATTGTGTCATACTATTGCGCACCTCAGAAGGTGTTCGCCAATTAGCAGGCGCTCTCCGCCGCATGCCCCAACTCAAGTTCCTGTCGGTATCCACCCTTGTCGGCGCTGGAAGGAAATTTGGTGATGGCAGCGATGAAGTCTCCTTGTCCCAAAGCCCTTCTGATCAGCAGGTGGCCAAAGTGTTGCAACAGTTCCGGCAAGGTGCTCGTGCTGCTCTTGTGGCAACAAAATCGCACAAGGATTTGATTTATTTGATTCCAAGCCAGCTAGTGGTACGGTACTCAGGAGATATGGTCCACCCGCCTAGTACTAGTTCAATGGGGGCACATGGCAGAAGGCGGTTTCTGAACATTGTAGATAGGGGTTCACAAGAGGAAAAAAGCTTCATCAAGGCAGGCAATGAGGAGGAGCAAGTCATGGAGTTTTTGATGTGTTCAGATGGTGTACAGCGGTTGTGACATGGACAAAAATTGACTAAAAATCACCATTCATCAATGATGAATTCATTGAATCACCATGGTTTGAATTAGTCCCATTTGTGGCAAACATGATGGCATTGAGTCATATGTGTGATTTTCAACATATACTATGAGCTGCATGTGGTCAACAATTGCTTGTCAAGGGAGGTGTGTGTTCATTGTAGATTTGGCCATGCCTGGGTGGTTGGCCATTAGATGGGCAATTTTGCGGTGTTGTTGGATGACTCACCATGTCATGGTAGTTTAGGTTTGGCATAGAGTCAATGTTTATATTGCACAATGCATTGTATGCAATGTCATGTGCAATATAATGCACTGCACAATGTTGAACATTGATTTATGGTAGGTTTGCAACACATTGAACGCAATAATTCAATCTTTTCATGAAATTACCCAATGATAATGCAATGTTAAACTCTTGTGTCCATAGTGTTGGTGGGGAATGCATTGTGTTGAGGGCAAGTTGTATCATGTTGCCACATATTGATAATGAAAAATAATTTTGCCATATGTGGATTGTTGATCACAATGCCCGATTGGGAAAATGTTGTAACTAAGTAATGCAACACAACTTGACACTTGTACCATTCTTGCAATTCTGCATCAAAACCTTTCTCATGGAGGTTTTCATCATGTGTGCATACAATGTTTTTTGATCTTGTATGCCACAAACATAGGACCATTAAAGTTGCTCATTCTCTTCACATCACCGCTTTAGCAGATGCAATTGCCCAAGAAGCGCAAGTATCAATGGTCAATTGTTATTGATGGTGGAGCAAAGTATGTTGCACTCGTAGGAATGGGTGGCGTTGGAAAAACAACCATAGCCAAGGCTTTAATCAGCAATCAAAGATGACTTCGATCTTTGCATTGATTTTTTATGCATGTCTTGCTATCTGATGGTCTTTTTGTAGTGGAAATAGCTTTTTAATTTTGATACTAAATTACTGACATAAATGGGATATTAAGGTTATAAGAATTTGAGTTGAGTCAAATGATGTTATTCATATTGATGCGTCATCCCAATGGTCTTTGGCAAATGTGATTCTATGTGTAATATTTATATTGAATTATATTAATATTCAATACAAACGCCTCTAAAATATATGTTGGATGGCATCTTAAAAAAAATGCACATCGATGAGAGTATATTGTCTTACTAGTAGTGTACATAAACACTGGCCATATAGCATTAGGAAATATCATGAAGTGACTTTTTGCTTGAACAAAACCAAAAGGTCTACACTATAGTTAATAATCTATCATGAAGAAGCTTGAGGCTCATAATCTATTACAAATGCCTTTGTTATGGCGCCAGGATGATGCAAGACTATATTGCAATTGTGGACACGTTGCTTAAAACTCTAGTTTTGATGCATCTCATTTTCAATGCATGGAGAGTAGAATCAAAGGCAATTGACATTCTCCTTCTAGAGAATGGTTGTATGAGGCAACAAGCCAAAACCCATATCCACTATCCTACAACAATGTTGACTCATTGTATATTTATAAGAATGCATATTGGGAGGCTGGTAAGATAAGGTTATGAGTATTATTGTTGGACACACATAACACAATGAAGCAATGACAACATTGCAAAGTTGTGACAACTAACTCCCATCATAAAATGTCTCGAAACGAAAGCTCAAGGCAGTAATTTTGCAATTGTAGCTATCACATTGCATAACACAATTGTGAGAAACTATATGGTATAATAGCCATTCAACATCTATCTCAGACTTCAAGCAAAAGCTGCCACCAAGGACCCGTTATGTCTTACAACGACGCTGCCACGTATAAGTTTGCCTCAAATTTGAGAAGAAAATTATGCCAAGAATAAATCGATTTCTATTTGGAATTAATAAATAATTATGATCAAAGTTTCAAAGAAAGCTTTGGGTGCTCACAACTATTATAAAATTGTAAATTTAAGAGGAAACGATCATGAGCTTGATTAATTTCCAATGTTCAAAAACACGAATTTACACATATGTAAAGAATGAGGTATGGCAAGTAACACGGGTATACAAAATTACTCACTGATAGGCAGAAAGTGACCAAAAAATAATTTAATAACATGATGATATGATATTTTATACAAGAATCAGCCCTTGTTTAAGCAATCGCCACATGATGGCTTACACATATTAGATTTGTTCAAAATTAAGTTGGTTAATAATTATTGGAAAAAGTGGTCAAATGTGTTTGTATCTTTATGGCACATGCACCTCTAAGATCCAAGGAGAGAAGGCAATTCATGCTAAATGCTTGTTAGATCACATACTCTATTAGTAGCACTTCATAGATGTGCACAAATATTTCTACTAATTTACAATGGCACCTGACACATAGAGTCAATGGCTACAATATGTAAAGGGAAGGCTAGTCCATGGTCTTGGATCAAGAAAAGAAATAGGGTTATTTGAAGCTCTTTAGAAACTTGTATGCTAATGACTTTATTATGAATTTTTAGATAAATGACAAGATGGACACATTCCATATCAAAGTCTATTGGTATTAGGAGAGTGTATCGATTTGGAGAATATTTTACATTTACAAACCGTTATTGAAGACCAAGATCCAATTTTCATTCACAATATGCACCACAATCTATACTACACCAATGCCAAATACATCAATATATCATCTCCTAATTTATTTTATGCATGTTTTTAAAAGCTACTCCTAGCCTTTAGGTATAATTTCCTAACAATAGCAAAATAATGACTACTTGACGCTTCTTAAGTATTGTCTTGCAATAATATGGTAATGGCACTTATATGCAATGCTTTATCCTGAATTCACTCAAACCCAACAATTTGATCTATTTCCGGTTTCCACTTCTACACCACCACACCATGATAGCCTGCCATGAGCACATGCTAGGTTGGGCATCAACCACATTCACTAACATGTTTGATAAGGATCACATTGCCAAGCTCAGGGAATGTGGGATTCAATAAAGAGGAACTCCACAATACAAATCTTACAAACTATTGCTTTGAAAGAAGAATGGGTTCAAATCCCACATTTAACTATTACCAACCAAACAAAGGTCTTTGACTAGTCATGCTTTGTTGTAAAGTAGTGTTGCACACTACATGAACAATGAAATTTTAACAAAAGCACAAGTGCATTGGCCCTGCAACATTTTTTTTCTCTGCACTGTAATAAAGATTGTGCTTTACAAGTTTAAAGAACGAGGCGTCTACTCATCAAAATGCTGAATTTTAGTTTTGAAAAGAAATTAGCATGATTTTACATAGTGTACATATTTGCACATTTGTGTGATGCCGGACCATCAAGGATCCCAAGCCCAAGTTGTGGTTATGGTTGAAATGTCATGCT